TACCGTTTTTAGTAGAAAATGGGTTTGAGGATTTACTGCAGTGCAAAATTAACCTTTAGTATTAATTAAATAGCTATTATTTTTGCAAATCCAGTTGAAATGCAGTCCTTCAATAGAATATGATACAAATAAAAAGTGATTAATAAAAATAACCCTTATTGCTTTCTTAATAGCATTCACATGAGACTTATGAATGGCAAGATGATACATTTCGCATCTTTAAATTAAGGAATAAGCCAATTAACCTTTAGTACAAAATTTCAAATTAATACCGATATTCCCTACAATCCTTTTAAATATATTGTTAAGGGGAACACTAAGAATTACACGAATTTAAAATGTGACACAAATTACTTTTTATTTAAAATATTATGCGTCGCAATTTTCTTATACCAAAGACAAACAGAACCCATAATTTCCTCTAACCGCGACCAGAGACAAAATAACATACAACCTTATTGTTAAGCTTTATTAATAAGCAAAAAAGGAAAAAATATCTATTTATTTAAAATTCTAACTATATTACTGTCAACGTACGTTTATTTAACGAGACAAGCGAGTTTCTATTTTAATTTAATTTTATATTAATAACAACTTGGCTGCTCTTTACATTATGTAAAATATTTTTCTGTATTTCTTTTATTCAGAGATATGCTGTCTAAATAATGACCGTACCAAATTACACATAAAATAACTCTGTCGCTTTGAGAGCTTATCATGAGTGAGCGAGACTGATATAATGACAAATGCTAAGGTAAAAAAGATATAGAGCAATGGAGTTTTTAAACCGACAGAGGTATTGAACCGCTGCATAATTTTTTGCACACGCAATTCATCAGCACATCTATGTAAAATATACCGAATTCGAGATATTTAGAAACAGTCAAGTTGCCCAACTACACATAATAGGATGATTACAGACTAGAAGAAAAATATTATATAAATGTGTGTCATTTGTATGTATACACATATACACAATCATACTACGTCACAATCGTGACTGGATCGATTTCTTAACATACGTAAATAAAAATATTTACAATATATTATTGCATGTCGAACGCCGGTACAAAGTCACTGCGCTTACTCTTGGGAGCGCGCTGTGACTTTGTTTTGGGGTGCACTTATCAGGTAAATAGGTATGCATACAGTAAACATACAAAAAAAATTTATTGGAACTATGGAAATTCTAAAACTTAATTCTAATACTAATGAGATACATTCCATATTAGGAAAACAGACAAGACTTTAAAGTTTTTCAGGTCTGCAACAGCTGATAGAAATTATATAAATACAACATCAAATCAGAAGTACACATTACAAACAATATAAAACTTTTTAACAATTAAACACAACAAAAGAAACTAATAAATCACTTATCTTAGATTTTACGCATAATATTTACTTATGCATGCTGTAATATTTACAGAAAGTTTCACAAAACCATTATTTTCGTATATACATATATATATCCAGTTTCATTTTGAACAAAGGTTGACTATCAAACAACAAGGTTTGGATGTCAGCGCAATAATGTATCAGGTGTTTGGAGCAGAAACAAAGGGGGGGTTTTTAGTCAGTAAGAGTCTGACACTCCCACTCGCCCCACTCAGGACGGGACAAGTCTTTTGATTGCCCGTCCCTGGCTCAACAATCTAAAATTCGAAATTTGACTGATTTCTCAGCCAAATTGTCCTGAAATGGACGATAGAGAAAATATTAAGTAACAAAATGTATTTCAAGAATGGAGATATCGATGACTGAATACTTTAAGTATCACAAATCAAATTTGTGGCAAAGTTAGTAATGAATTCTTTTTCTAAATTAGATTTCTTGTATTTAATTATTTAACGCATTATTATAAACTGATAGTTTATGAACTTATGAGTTGGGTCTCTCTAATTCAGAACAAACATTCGTTAATAATTCTAATTGCCACAAATTTGAATTGTGCCACTAACGCATTCAGTCACCTATATTATTGAATTGATTAACAGTTACTCATAAAATTTGTATTTTATAAAACTTTCTTTTCACATAATTAAAGGTTACAGCCTAGCAGTAACGACAAAACTCTGCTGTTGCTAAGTCGTGAATTTTTTTTATACATTTTAAACCTTATACTTTTGTCATACAGTTTAAAATATAGTAATAAAATTTTCAACTTAGCGACCGATTTCTCTCGTTATTATTATAAAGACTTAATTATAAAAAGCCGATTACAATTGCATCATAAAATATGTGTACTGTATGCATACTTTTAAGTGTAATATCTTACTTTAATAGAATTGAAGGAAAAAAATTACTTTAATTTGAAGGTATAGTAAATTTATAAATGAAAAGAAACTATCCAGAGTAATTTGTATTTATAATGATTAAAAATCTTAAGGGCGGTTACTAGATAGCCATTGCTAGTTAATCTGGCATTTAGAACCCAGAGCGTTTGAAAAAAAAACAGTTAAATATACAATTAAATAATTGCCTTCCTTTTACATATTTACTATAATAGACCTCCACTTCAATAGTAAGATTTAATTCGTTGAGGTACCTAAGTTACCAATAATACACGACATTTGATTGGCAACTTTGGTACATAGAAATTAAGTATTGAAAAACACATTAAACAACTTGGGAACAAAATATTGAGTAGTGTAATTTATATAACCTAAATAATACTCAACTCATTCATAACTTGGCGTTTATATTGAAGTTTTTAGAGTTCAAAATTGATTGACATGTGTGTGTATAAACTAACGTGGACCGTGTCGAGTCGCGCAGTGGAGCTTGTGAATTTGAGTCCCAGGGAGGCACAAAACTAGTAGGGTTCCTCTTCTTATAAGATACTAAATAATATAACTTATAAGATATCAAAAAAATTACAAGCCGTATTTAGCCGTTGAAAAAATCATTTTTCATTAAAATTGATGCGACTTGCGATTCAACTTTAACCTTTTTTCAGTGCTTAAAGAAAATTGTTCTTTTTTCATGGTCTGATCTAGAAATTGCATAGTGTTAATCAATTTGAACAGTGTCAAACCATTTTGAGCTCTAAGAACTCGTAAAGTAACAAAGAATTGTTTTAATTTCCAAAATTAATATCTCATTCTCTCTTTAGTACCAAAAAACAGGTACCTATTAAATTAAACTTTAATTTAATACAGTATGGGAATAAACAAACTTTAACCGCCACACTCAGTTGTCTACCTAATGGTTACTTAGTCCAGCCCTTAGTAACAATTCCGCCCTGCCTGGATTAGGAGAAGAAACGGGGCAGTTTTTAAGAGTCTGACTCTTTGCGCGAAAGTCATTTAAGATTATCCCTCCTCAAGAAAAAGCCCGAAGCAACTGTTTCCGGGACTAAATCGTCAGTGATTAATAGTTTACTAGATCATTAAAATATTTGAGAAGCTTTACATTTTTAACACTAAGTAAACTACTTTAAAAAGGAAATCAAGGATAATTTTATGGAAATACCTACATTATTTTTTGCACTAAATCCAATAAACTTACCAATATACTTACTATTGTGGTAATAAGAGTGGTATAGACAACAAAATTATATTTCCATAACCATTCTGTTAAGCTAATATTGACTTTATCTCCATTATTATAATAGCCGAATATGGTTGTCTATGGTAAACTAGTTTGAAATGAACGTTAAACATGTCTAATCCCATACTGTAATAAATTAAGATTTTAGATAATAGCTACGTTCAATAAACCTAAACGTAGCTATTTAGAACGAAACCGGTTCGAACCGGTTCTGGTCGGATTTCTAAGATCGTAGTAGTAAAAATGCGTTTTTCATTTACCCTCAATACAACAGTTTTGAATGTTCACATAATATGCCAGTCTAGAACATTCTCACTCTCATGCCAAACTTTGCACACATATTTGACCAAACATTTCTTGCATTCATATTTTACGTGGCATTGGCGACAAATGTTGGCGTTGTCTCTCTATGAGGGCGTTTGCAATTTTTGAATAGTAACTGTCGTGAGACATACTAAATTTATTGTAAATAACGACTAACTCACGTGAATTAAATGTTGTAAAGCTCTACTAGTTTCAAGTCACAATGGGTCTCTTATTTAAAAGCGAGAGCTTTCAATAATTTGAGGACGTAGTAGGTACGGATGTACCTATATAGATCTATTGGTCCAATGGAGAACATACTTTGGACAATCAGAACTTTGGTTAGATAATGTAGCCCTTATTGTCACTTTTATAAAGATTAACAAACATTGGCCAACATTTGTAACCAATGTAAAATAGAGTAAATCTCTCCTGGCCAACATTTGTGACCAATGCAAAATATAGTAAGACTCTCAACTCCTACACACCCGCGTCACAAATAGCTGCTTCATACAAAATAACTATCAAACATACCGATTCTGTAAAATTTCGAATACGAACTATAGATTTTTAATACATTTACAAATAGCTCATACAGAAAATATTGCAGAATAACCCTCTCATTAAGGAAGTACTTAAATTACTATTTACAAGATTTCGAATACCATCGAAACTTCAGCATCTACGCCTAAGAACACAGTCGAATGACGTTTAAAAATCGTCTCTACTACATATAACATAAGTCTCATTTTACAAAAAGGTTGTAGACTTGATTTTGTTTACATTGTACTAATATACGAGATTGGTGGACTATGGCCTATTGAGAAATTTCCTAAACGAGCTGCAGTAAGGAACTGTAAAAGGATAGAAATGACTTATCTATTGATATGAAACATTATGTAATCACTTTAAAACCAGTAGCAGACTGAGAACTAATAAAGACTAGATTCGCTTAACTGGTCAGTAATTTTTTATACTGGGATAAATGATATCTTTTAAAGAAATACATGATTTCCTGTTTCGTTGGAATTTGCATGTATAAAACAGATAAACAATTATCAGACTAACGGAAACTTAATTGGGCATTTTGAAAAGGACTGAATGCAAGTCTGCGACTAGCTTAAAAGGATATAATTACTACCAGCATGCCTAGTGATAGTTTACTCTACGTCAACGATCGCCACGTATATGACGTTCAGCGTTCTGATTGGCTTGTTCCAACTTAACCAACCAATCAGAGCGTTTCTTTTAAGAGTTTCGATCGCGTTAGCATAAAAATAACTCTCACTGAGCATTAAGAACTATAACTATTGAGTCAAATCGGTTGAACAGAGAACTAAATCAATGGAGATCAAGCATTAATAAATTTAGTTATAATACATTTCAAATCGTCGCGAGTTCTCCATTGAGGTAATCCTCTGTGTTCTATTGTAAAATGAAACCCACTGATAATTCCTTATATTTCGTCTTTTATAAAGTATACAACACTGACACTGCACTTCACCAAAACCTTGGGCGAGGACCCATCCATCTGTTAGGACGGGGGCCGTTTCTAGGCCAGCCTTGTTGTGGAGAAAACCCCGGAGGCCTAAAGTTAGTCCGCGGACCCCAATTCCTGGGGAACCGAGGGTTCATGAACCTTGGATGATGCTGATGCTGTTGTTGTTGCTGTTGCCAGTCCTCATTCCCAAAGTCTTCGAATGGTGGTGATGGGTTCCGTATTTCGTGGTGCTTAGCCTTGTCTAAGCCCCTGTTTCTAAGATCGTCTTCGTACGCGCTGTCATTGGAGTTTTCCTCAGTCAGATCGAAGGTTTTAGGGAAATTCATGGGCTTTTGGAAGTTCATGTTGAAGTTTTGGAGGGCTGGTGGCATGGCATCGAAAGGGTTCACCATGGGTGGGACTATGGGCGCGGAATGCGGCTCTTTCTTTTCACTATTGATTTGAATGAGATTTTTATGGTTGTGCTCATTGTGCACTTTGCCGTTATCGCCTCCGACTAGAACTTTGTTATTGTTATTGAAGCTGTGCCGTCTCTCCACCTGGTTTTGATTTGCGTACATTCCTTCTGAAATGTATAACGATATTTTTAATGATATTTCACATAAAAGTATGGAATATTCTGGCTTTTGGAGGTAACAGATGGCGCCACTAGCGAGTTAAGTCCTGTAAATATAATCAACAGACAGACAATCAACATTTACCCACTTTATTATCTGTGTAAGGTTTAGCAACTAGTGTAAGAGCTCAATAATTACGAAGACCGCTTGCATAAATACGTATACATACATTCTTGCTTTGAGTAACTTTTAATCTACATATTATAAGTTAAATAACATCGTTACACTGGTAAAGGGAGCTAAAGTATCACTATCATTTTCACATATTACTAATCCCTGGAAGACAATTAAATGTTGAAATTTCGTTATGTACATTTCGAATCAAATGATAGCCAAAGTATTTCCCATAGTCTCCAAATACATTTTGCAAATCAATTGGTAGACAACGAAACAAGACATGTAGCCTATTAGTCTTTTCCTCTTTTCTACTGGCTGTAATAGCCTAGTGAAGGCAAAGTGTAATAGAATTATAACCATTTCTATTCTCCTTGTAGGCATCATAAAAGTCGTTGAAGGGACCACATAGTTAACAGAAGCAGTGGCGCTCTCTGATAAACCATTTTGTGGAGATTATGGCATAATGTACATAAAACGACGAGACTTTTGTAGACGAAATCTATAATCTACCATAAGCCTTACGAGTTTGATGATGATAAGGATACACAATACAGGGCGAGATACACAGTAAATAATGATGGAAAAGATGCCTTTATTAAAACTGAATATCTTACGTTGATCCTCGTCTTCAGACAGATCCATATCAACGCTCTCCACGATGTCCGGAGGCGGCACCAATGGCGGTACCCTGTAATCCTGTTTAAATACACATGTTATAATTTATTTCAGTGTATTATACCATAATACGTCTTTGATGCTAACTTAAGTGTTGACTGCACGGTTGGTGCGGTGGCTGGGCAACTGGGTACCGTGCAACGTGTCGCGGGTTCGATTCCCGCACGGAACAACTCTTTGTGTGATCCACAAATTGTTGTTCCAGGTTTGGAAAATGTGTATATGAAATTGTATTTTTGTAACCGCACCCACGACAAAGAAGAAAATCCAAATGCCGGGCAATGTTTTTTAAAAAAAAATAAAGTGACAATACAAGATTTTCAAGGCCTATTTTTGTATTTGCTAATCGACAATACGATTTCACTTCTTTGATTGTATTTGCTATCGTGACATGAATTAATTAAATATTATGAAACGTGTAACAACACTAATTAGTATCACTAATCAGTACGTCACTAAAACTTCCGTCATTTTCTGTTCTAAATATCATGGTCGACGTCCTGTGGACCATTGACAATGTGAATATGGTTCAGTAAGCTGCCCGACTGTGTACTGTAAAATTTAACTCAAGCAAACTAAGATCCAGTTCTTGCACTTGAAGTACCGCGGCCCCGGTCTGTAGCAGAAGGAACGGGCTGGTTTTTTAGTCAGTAAGAACCCTGATAGTTAAAAGATGACGTTCCTTCGGATCACTCCAGTTGAGCCGGTCCATTCGTAGCAAAGCATGGCTCTCTCACACTTAAATCCTACCTCTATGACACGCTTACTGAATAAAACCCACCTCGTTTCAACGCATTTCTTATGGTTAAATGTCAATAGAATTCTACCCGCAACCCTACCAACCTAAGTTTCAAAAACCTATAAATACAGTATAATGATAAAAAACTTACTTGATCCATCGTGACAGAGTTAATTGGTTGAGGTGGAGGAGTAGGTTGATGCGTTAAAGGAATCAAATTCCTATGGTCCACATCTGAAAATAATAGTAATAATAAATGTACGTTCAAGCCTGTAATACATTAAAAACAGTACTTTCAATACAAATCACACAGTAAATGGACAAAACAGGAGACAGTAATTGATCTATTACTCTTTTTGTTGTGTTGTGTAGATGGCGACACAATCGATAAAGGACAAATCATAATTGCAGAAGTCAGTGTATTTATAATTGACATTGCGTACGGTCCAGAAATTATTGTTTCGCGTCTGGGTGTGATGTGTATACGAAATTGGATGTTTGTAAACCTAGATTGGGCCACCATTGTTATTTTTTTTAGTATTAATTATTTTCTTTTTTTGATTTGTCTATGTAATCAATTTTTGATGCATACGTTTACCTTAGCCATGTTGAGTACCACGGAAAGGCATAAACTCACACTAGTAAATAGTTTAAGAACAGTTTTTATTTATTGACTTACCTTGATGTACAGGGTGTCGCACGGGCGCCGTGTTGACGACAGGCGGTACTGGCGGTAGAGATGGTAACATTCTATGGTCTACGTCTTCCAGCTCTGTAACCGTTTGGGAGGCGTGTTAAACTCGTTGCTTATACTTAAATATTACGTATAAATCAGAAGACCATGATATTAAAAATATTTTGATGGAAATAAATGCAGTAATTTAATTGGGATTGGAGATTGGGTATTGGCATTAGAGATAAGAGTTTATTTATTGAAGGTAGGAGCAGGGGATTGAATCTTGGGGTTCGGGAGGGGGGATTGGGGATTGGGGATTGGAGATTAGGGATTAATGAAAGCTTGAAGTAATACCGAATGAATTTCAAAATGTAATACTAATATTATAACAACTTACGACCAAGCAGCGGTAAGACGGGCGGCGGCGGCGGTGGAGGTAATATTCCTCTGTGATCGACGTCTGTAGGAATTTCCTGTAATACAATGTTGTTAGCGGAAAATCAACGATCTGCCCCAGCCATTACGTCTGTATTTGTTTGTCACGAGTCGTCATTGGCTGTCAGATTCACATACATGTTTCTTTCTTGTTTTGTTACTATAAATCTTCTAAAGGAAATTGATAACAATCAATTTTTTACTCTTAACAATCAACCATCGTGGAGTCATTGCTATTAATTTTTTTTTTTATTAAAATTTTTAAATCTTTTATGTTTCAGTTTATGTCAATAAGAACAAATTTTAAGTGTCTTACATGGCATTTACACCTAACTAACGGACAATTCTATTATTGAAGTTTCAAAAAACGCTGCACAACTATCTTCTTCTGATCCAGATAAAAAATATATCCTTTAAAATGAACTGAAAACTTTGGGGCACGTAAAAGCCGTCGCTATTTTTTGTTTCGTTACTTACCTGTTGATACCGCACTGGTTCGGGTGGCGGTATGGGTCGAGGCGCGGGCGGCGGCGACTCCGGGGTGTCAGTAAACACGTTGGCGTTCAACGTAGGATTTACGCGCTAAAGATAAATAGAAAAATATTTAAGACCATAATGACCTAGACTTTACACCCGATAACAACTAATAGTAATTATTAAATTCAATAATAACATAAGATTTAGGTTAAAAAACAGACAACTAAATGCTTTTTAACTATATCAGAAACGAATAGTGTGAGATAGCCAACCTTCGGCACGAATGGGTTGGCTCGACCGGAGTGATAACACGGCCTCACTGAAAACCGGCGTGAAAGATCCACTGTGTTGTATTTTGCCGTGTGAGTGAGGTTACCCGAGGCCCAATCTTTCCCCTCCCATCCGTCCCCAATCCATAAATCTACGAATCCTTAATCCCAAAAAGCCCGGTAACGCACCCCTCGCACTCCTATAGAATTGTGGGGCCTAGCTCTTAGGAGAAAGTTTTCAGTAAAATCAATTACAATCACACAGTGAAACGTTGTTTTACGATTATATTCTGTCAGGCTGTGGTATCATTCCGATAGATTTTGATATGTATGTATTATTTTTGAGGTTAAACGATTATGTTGGGTGAATTGAATGTATAAGTTTATAATTATATTAACATGAATAAAAAAAATTGAGCTTCGCTGTTATCGCGTCAGTCATATAAAATTAATCAAGGAGTCTATTCAAGAAATGAAAATAAAATGGTAGAAACTCACAGGTATGCTCCAGTTAGTATTGTTCCAAGAGCTACCGGCCGCTTCTGGATGATAAGGCTCCGGTTCTTCTGGAAATAATGAACATATTTTTATTGTTATGTAATTCAAGAAAAAATCTTATTGATCATTAAAATACACAAGTAAAAATATTCAAATTCAAAATATTGATAACTTCTATAACTATTATTACTACATTATAAAGAGGAAAGTTTTAATTGTATACTAGAGGCCCGGTACGTGATTCGCTATGTAATAAATAAAGAACAGCTCGACCGATTTTGTATAAACTTTACATAAACCATCTACGAAATAATCCGAGCAACGCTTAAACATTTAGTTTGAATAGGTGAGTTCGTTCTTGAGTTATAAAATTATAATGAAATTGCATTAATAAATAAACGCGCTAATCTCCGGAACTACTGGTTCGAATTGAACAATTTATTTTTGGTTCGTTAGTCTATTTGTCGATGAAGGCTATAAGCTATAAAACATCACGATATGACCTGTATGAGCCGAGCAGCGGTTGAAACCGCGCGAATGTAGCTAGTTTTAAGATAAGCATACAAGTTATACACAAAAAATAATAGCTCTTTCTCTCTTAAACGTTTTCAATAAAACAGAGCGAGCACTATATTATATTACACATACTAAACGAACTGAGAAAATTAAAAAAAAGACTGCACGGTTTGCGCAATGGTTGCGCAACGACTGTTGTAAATATCTCCACGAAACAACATAAATTGCTGTTCCGGGTTTAGGTGTGATGTGCATTTTAGATATAGGTAAGTATGTTTACAAACGTACTAGAGTTCGCAAAGAAAAACTAGGCATAATTATTAATTTAGCCTGCAGTTATGAGAGAGGCGGCCCGCGTGAGGGAGCAATCCTCCTCCTCACGCCCCAGCAGCCGCAACTGGCGACACTACGGGCGTCGGGGATCGAGGGACGATCTCCGGCCACCGTAAGTACGGGCCTGCGGTCGGCGAGTAAGGGCAGCTCGCCGCCCGACCAGAACCAGGCCCGAGCGTACGGCGCGTAGCGTTCCGCGCGCGCCTCAAAGAGCCATTCGACCACCACAGACGGGGCCCTAAAGGGCTGATGTTCAGCCGGGGTTGCGGGGTAAGCGCAATGAGGTACCGCGACCTCGGCACAGAGCAGGAGAAGGAACAGGGGGGTTTTTAGTCAGTAAGAGTCTGACACTCCCTCCTGCCCGGCCCTGGGCGGGAGAAGTCATTTGATGATTATCCCCTCACAAAAAAAAAAAAAAAAAAAAAAGCCTGCATTTATAGCCGTAATGAAATATCATACCAGTAAGGTCCATGGTCCCATAGAATGATGTAGGCGGCGGCGGGTTGCCCGGCGTGTCTGGTGTTAGTAAATCTAGCCCGGGCAACGTGTCCTGTGACTTTTGGGACACCGACGCGCTTGTTACTACAAACAAATTATTTTTATGTGAATCTTTACCGTTTTTCCAGTATTTTTTCAAGCTTTTTTAGTAATACACTTTTGTGCATTTTATCATGGATGTTTTGTATTTGTATAACAGCTATGCTTGCAAAACATAAAACTGCAGGGTATTTGATATGTTATTAACAATAATAATGGTTTATACACAAATTATTTATTAAAGAAAATAGCATACTAACAGTTAACTAACTCAGGCTTTTGACAGGATTGTATAAAAAAGTCACACATTAGAAAACAAGATTGTATGGTGCAATCTGTGCGATAAACTGTTTGCGCATTAAGCGCAATGTGATGCGCAAAATGGCCTACATATATCTTTCGTAGCGCAAATTTATATAAGTTAATACACGCTTAGCTGATTAGCTGGTGATGTTTTTGAGGAATAATAATAACAAAAATTATTGATTTATTTCAATTACTTGCTTAAATAGTGCTTCACATTGGATGAATTTCTCTAAAAATCCCTGTAAACGTCGACCAGCCAAATCAATACCTTATGCAAGTCATAATACAAACTAAAATGCAAGCTAAGGCATACAAATTTAGACACTGAAAAAGGAGTTGCTTACAAGAAATAGGGCTAAAACACTAAGATATGACAAACTAACCTGAATTATTATCCGACGCGTTGGTATTAGTATCAGTCATCAGATTTTTTAACACATCATTTATGTTAAAGTCTTGCTCATTTTGTTTGTTTGGCCTACTGTTTATAACTTCGATTTTGTTGGCTGCAATATTAATTCACCACGATAGTATAGAAATCAAAATATTGCTTTTCTATACTATAAATCGAATCTGAGGCACGTTAAGCGCAGAATCAATATGACATGCTTCTCTCAAATGGGGATCGAACCCTTATAATTCGCAGTCTACTCTTCGGCTTATTTACATATGAACTATAATCATAGTTTGTGCTTCTAAAACACTAATTGATAAAATGTATCACAGTTTGAACTGGATATACTAATCATTATAATCTCAAGGACATACTTTAAATGAATTTAAACCTTAACCAAACTTAATAATAAGTGGTAATTTAGCAAAAACTCACTGTTATTCAGGATATCGCTGGATTCGTTGAACAATGCCATTGGATTTTCTGATGTTAGAAAAGACGTTAGGCCTAGATTGTAGAGAGATCCATCAGCTGCTATCGAAGAGTTGAACGTCTGGTCGATGTTATAGGCAACTGTAAGAAGGAAAACATTCATATTTAAAAGAATAAACTATAGCAGAAAAAGCACTAGACCATTTTAACGCGCGTGCCCCTAAGTCGGGACTGTTGAATGAAAAAACTTTCACAATTATATTATATATACAATTGGGTTTTCGTACTAAAATATATATACAATTGGCTAGTTTCTGAGGTCAAAAATAAATTAATTCGACTTTTCAATACAACACAATATTTAAAAAAAAACTACTTATACTTTTATTTATCGATCGATCAATACACTAAGTTTTAAATATTTTTTAGCTAATTATTAGGAATTAGTAAGCTATTTGACGCAAAAAAACTATGACGTCATAACTCAGTTTTTCATCCAAATTTTATAGAAAAGTATAGTTTTTGGCATTTGGATAAAAGTATTAAATTTGACTAGTTGGAAATACGGAGCGTATTACAACTTATGTGCAGTCAGCCAAGTTAGGTAAGAAAGTAAAGATTGACTCGGTAAAGGTATTGGTAGCCTACTAATATCTACTAACCTAACCAACAGATTAATAAAATGAGGTTAAACGGTTTAATAGAACACAATAGCAACGATCGTTGCGCGATCTCCGACGCCCGGAGTGTCATTTACTAGGCTAGGGCATGAGAACTCCCGCTAAAACAACAACGGCTCTGCCTTTCCCTTCAGAGATTAAAGAAATAGTATGAAAAAAGTACTTACTCTCATCATCATCCCCAGTGTTCTCTGGTACGGGCAGTTCGATATCCTCATCAGGCCCTGGAGATGGCACATCTTCGTCTCGCTGAGGTGGTGATGGGGCAGCATTGGGCAAAGTCGGTATAAGCTCGTCTAGTTTTCGCTTCAACGCTTTTACACGCGCTCCAAAGTTTTTATATGCCTAGAAACATGTTATTTAAGTTGAGAACAACCTTCAAAAGACGTAGTAGTATATGGCAGAGTTAATTTGAGCTGGTTATTTCCAACTAGATTCCGCCCGCGGCTTCGTTACTTTACGAAAGTAAAGTATCCCAGCACATTTTGAAACACTGTTGTTTAAAAAATCCCGTCAAAAACAATAGCTCGACTAATATACGCAAAGCAGGTAAAATTTTTTGGGCGAACTTTTCACCATCTATCTTACACGGTTTACATTTTTTTAATACAAATGTTTTTTCCCGCCTATTTTGCAATATTCTGTTGGAACTAATCTGTAAGTTTACTAAGGTACTTGGATACCAAATTTCAAGCGGTTTAAATTTTTCATACAAAAGGACGTTTCTGTGGGAGTTTCGGGAATTCCTTTCTTAGTGCACCTCTACGGTACCTAAGCTACGTCCATTCTAAATTTCAACTGGCTACGTTAAGCCGTTTAAGCTGTGCGTTGATATGTTAGTTAGTTAGTCAGTCAGTCATTTTCCCTTTTATATATTGAGATACTCATTTAACTATTTTTATCGTATAGGTTGGCGATATCAAACAGACTTATCACCCGGTACCGTGAAAATTCGCAACCACAAAGGAATAGTAAATGCGTTTCCGGCCTTTTGGGAGTTAGGAATGAAGATTGTTTATGTGATTGTTTATGTGTGGGTGTCCATGCAGACTCGTGAGTATCAAAGCCAAAACACTTATTCCAACTAAACCATAAAAAGGTACTTTTGGAACAGCAAGATCACTTCTATCGGATCGCGGTACTGCCCAATTTCCCTACTATGTCCCTTAGTCGACACCTGTGACGACCGACAAGTAAGGGGAATAACAAATGACTGAATTCCAAGCCACTTTCATGAATTAACCGTTTCGACCGACGCTGTGACGACCACGGGACTAGTAAGGGGAATAACAAATGACTGAATGCCAAGCCACTTTTATTAATCAACCGTTTCGACCGAAGCAATACCACGCGTCCTTATTCTCCGCCCTGCATTTCGAATCCCCAAGTCCCCGGTCCTCAATCGAATCATTGTGTCGGCGTGTACCGGCGTCGCCCATAGATGGGTTATGTCACATGGTGGCTAGCTTTCATACACATGGAGGGTCCATAGGCGACGCCGATTGCTTACCATCATCTGTCTGCAAGCTGGCAATCATATGGCACAAGAAACAGAAGTTCAATTTAAAACAATGTGTACTTACATAAGCAACAACCTTCACTTCACCCCTCTGCGTTGCATAGTACTGTGTAGCGGTTGTAAGTAATGCTAACAAAGCCTCCCTCGCTACAATTTCCCTTTGCAATGCAGCAGTATATCGTTCCACACAAGAGATCCCATCATTCAACTCCTTTTCTACATCATCCTTGTTGCCTCTCTCTGAAATAATGTTATAAACAAATTAATTGCTATTGCTAATATTTTGTTAAATTTTTAATCACGGTTATATTATAGTGACAAAGCACAAAAAAGCTTTTTTTATGGAATAGGAGGCAAACGAGCAGACGGATCACCTGATGGTAAGCGATCGGCGCCGCCCATGGACACCTGCAACACCAGAGGAGTCACAGGTGTATTGCCGGCCTTTTAAGAAGGAATACGCTCGTTACTTGAAGGTTTGAAGGTCGTATCGGTTAGGGAATACAATAGATACAATAGGTAAATTCTTTCTTGGAACACTGGATAGTTACTAAGATACACTACCCTTAAAAATAAAGTATGCTGATTTGGAATTTGCTGTCCCTAAAACTACAGCATTCATAAACAAGTGCTATTTGGACTTGCACAAAAATTGTTCTAAAATCACATTTGTAAACAAACCATACAATCAATAGTAATAAATAAATCTATACTAATATTATAAAGAGGTAAAATTTTTAATTTTGTGTTTGTAAGTTTGTATGTACGGGGTAATCTTTGGAACCGCTGGTCGGATTGCCAAAATTCTTTCACTGTTAGATAGCTACAATGTTCCTGAGTTCGAGATTAGCTAGTATTAAGCTTCTGACTCATATTTATTATATCCTTTTTTTAGTACTTGCTGTTATAAAGCAACAAAAATACATCATCAGTCTGTTTAAATTTAGGGTCAATGTAGTCTGAGTTACAGGGTTCAATGCTTTGGTTATCAACCCAATAAAAAAGTTACAGAACATGGTCTAACAAACCTTTCAGTGAAGCCCTCAGTAGCTCAGCATCGGAGAGTTCCAGATGACTGTCATGTATCTCTTTGAGCCTCAAATCTGTATCTGCTTCTAATACAGAGCATTGTTTTATCTTATTTACAAGTTGTGATGGCTGAAACATATAACCACAATAAATTAATAAAGTCCACAATACAATTAATACATACAACAACTACTGAATTGAAGAGGAAGGTTTATATGTATACTAGCTTTTCCCCACAACTTTATTCGCTTGGAATAGTGACTTCCTGCTGATTTTTGGCACAGAAATAGTTTAGAATTTCACACAAAAAGGTTCAGTAGTTTATGCGTGAAGAAAAGACAGACAGACAGAGTTACTTTCGCATTTATAATATTAGTTTGGATTAACATACATTAAATATTGGAAAAATTTAGTATCAGCATTGCAGCCATGCAAAGCCGGAACAGGTCACTAAAAGGCTATAAAACATTATGAACTATAAATTATTTCGCCTATACCAGCTGTGTCATGTATTATTTTTTAATGGTTTGTTTCCCAAATTACATTTTCCTCAAACTTCAAAAATCATCAAACATCAGCCATATGTTTTCCATTTGCTTACAACCTTTTAAATATTATATTACTTTGTTTGATGCTCATCAACATGCAGCAACTTAATAAAAAAGAAATTGGAAACTCAGTAGCACATACTGAAAACTAAAAATAAATTTTAGTTACTAAATAAAATTTATTTTCATCTGTTTTATAAAATTTTTGTTGTCTTATTTGAAAAAATGAGGAAGGAGGAATCTTATTGTAGTAAGTCCAATGAGAAAAACTGTAATATCAATATGAATAATATAGAACAACAATTATTGTATGTAGATCTAAATGTATTAAGATGTTTTTGGCGAAAATTACCTAGAGTTTTATTTTTTTTCTCATTTATTTATTGTATTTATACTAACACCATTCAATGTTAGTTTATTGATACTTAATGTAGTCATTAACTGTTTATTGATTATTTTATTATTTTGCTACTAAAATCATCTTTTACTACAGCTAACCTCCTTTGAATTGATATACCTACTTAAATGTAAGTTTATACTACCCACTTGGAACTCTGAATCATCATCAGATTTCTTCAGTGCTCCAGCACTAAGTAGTCCAGTCAGATCTGATAGAAACTCATCATCGTAAACTGATCTTTGTTCCCATATTTTAAATATGCGAAGGATTTTTGGTCTCACTTTCTCATCTCTGAAAAATAAAAGAAAAACCTGTTAATTTTGGTTGAAACTTCATCATTATCAATCTTAACGTATAATATAAGGAGGTAAAATTTGTAAGTTTGTATGTAGGGGTGATCTTTGGAACCGCTGGCCGGCTTGCCAAAATTCATCCACTGATAGATAGCTACAATGTTCCTGAGTTTTATAGGCTAAAAAACATCATGCTACGATCAAATGAAGCTGAGCAGCGGGTGAATAGGGGTGAGAGAAGCTAGTATCTTATAAATTCTAACTGCTCAACAAAGACACATAAACCATCCATGTGAGAAGAAAGAATCTTCTCACATGGATGGTTTAGGTGCATTAGTTACTACATTGGCTCAAATCAGCAGGATTGGCTATTTGAAATCATAAGTCCAGGTTTTCATCATGTACATGTAACTCAGGAATGTGACAAAGGTACTATCTAGTTTTTGAGCCTTTACTACTTATTATTCTGCAGCTGTAATACTATAAATGCAACAGTTTATAATTATGGATGTTTGTTACAGAAGCAGTGAGTGTTTGGTAAGATTATTATAGTTTACAGTCCAAGATAGACTTTTAACTCTGGTGCTGCAGGGAGGACCGCTGGCAAAAGCTTAGATTTACAGATAATCAGGGTGCCAACAGAGGACAGACCTTTGACTGCATGGTTGGCACAGCAATGGAGCATTACAATGTTTTTAAAAGAAACTTTCTCGTGTAGAAGGGGCTGTAGTTAAGAAGTAAGAGTCATAGGCTGTATTAATAAAAGTGGTAATAAAAATAATACAGGTTACAAAACAAGAAGTGTCTATGTTAAAATATTATGTATCACCGTTCATGATAAGACCTGTTGTTAGCCTGCTCTTTGTGTCTAAATTTGTAATGTTGTGTACAATAAAGAATATAATATGTAGTATATAAATAAATAGATGGTAGCTTAAGAAGTCTACAAGCATAGTGGAACAAACACAAATAATTGTGTTAACAATCAATAAAGTAACTTAATTTGGCGTCTGAAAGAGACTACTTGCTGAGAAATCAGAGTAATGTGAGAAAATATTCAATTTTTGTTTATGAAAAAGTAAACTAAACTTTATAGGTTAATAAATAGGTCCGGCTTGTTAAATTCTTAACAATTTCAACAATTTGAGTTTCTCCTAATTAATAAATTAATAAATATATATTTTCATTGATGCATGCATTTTCTCACGAGAACGATAGCATAAACCAATAGATAACAAACACAATGTTATGCAAGTGTTAAGGAATAGTAGGATTTTACTATTTTTATGTCACAAAGTTGTTAGCTTAAAACTAACCTGACCAATGGTGTAGCTTTCTGCAAATTGAGTCCCCAACTCTCAACAAACTCATAGTTCTTCCTTTTACTGTACTGGATTACGTCGTTGGCCAAATAGAACAGTACTAGCCTCTGTTCTACCTTCACTCTTTTCAAGACATTCAACCAACTGGAAACTATCTTTTTATGATGCGGCCTTTGCTTCAAACACCACGCCGACAAACCCTGGATACTTTCCTGAGTATCTTTTAAGTGCATTAGTCGTTTCTCAAACGCTAAAGTGTTAAATTCTTCAGCTTCACCCATTGTAATCAAACTAACAAATTTTCACTGACACATTTTATTATCCTAGTCTCATTATATGACAATCAATAACACACTTTTCTTAATAGCACAATAACTATTGCAACGATTTACACTTATAAATTCAATACATAGCACGAAAATGCGAACAAATAAACTAAGCGAAAAACCGCGTTGTTAGCAGTAATTAGGATATCGTATTTGTAAAACTTTTGAATGGACTATCAAACATTTTTGAAAGCCGTTCGAAAAATCTATAATCAATTATATCACTCCAAATTACACTCCGTAAATTCTAAACAAATACTGGTAAATTGGAAATTATTACGGAACTAGGTACAATGCCAGAGACAACAACCGCCATTTTCTTTAATAGTTGTTTTTAGAAAACACAGCATTGAAGTTAGGCATAAGTATTTTACGTATACAGCCTACTGCTAACAGTTCTAACATAATGAGCTAAAATCTTAACATTTCATAACGCAGTCCCTATGTGAGAAATAATACAGAAAATAATTTTCTCTATGTTTATCATCACATTTACATTTGAAATGATTTAGTTAGAGATATTTTCTATTAACATCCGTGAATGTTAGTACTATTTCATAACGTCACTGTCATAATGACAAAGTCATGTCTGTCATTCGTGACGATAGAAATAGATTTGACACTACGTTTGTACAATTATCATTCATTCATTGGATAGAATCATTGGAAGGTGTAGGCTGATGTCAATTTGTAAAAAGTTGTTTTGACAATAAAGTCGTTATCCTGTATTGGAGGGAGTTGAGATTAACAATCATTAATTGATATTTTGTGTGTTGCCGACTCATTGTAATAAAAAAATGTAAGTATTTATTTTAACCTGTAATAATTTTACTAAAACTTATCATTAAAATTGCACAAGTACACGAAATAATCACGCCCACTATTTATCTTTAGATTTTGCCTATCCGTATTGATAAGTATTTTACCTAAAGTATTAATAAATGTTATGTTAAGAAAATAGAATAATTTTGGTAAATAATAGGAACCTTGTGTAAAGTAGGTACCGGTGCATGTTGCCGGTAGGCTCATCAACCTCGATTGTATCATGTATATTTATTTAATTTCTTGTTTATTGCATTTGCAATTTAAATCCCACTCCAGGTTATTTATAAAATCATGATTGAACTAAGAAGTATCATTGGTACAGATAAAAACAGGGATTTTTTGAAACGCGAACACAAGGCTGACTAATCGTGAGGACCTTGGGAATACTATTGCGTCATTCTTATATTTGGTTGCGGTTTTGGATTGAATCAGCTATTTTTTGTAATGAACTGTAGATTCGGATGTGATGTAGATATTGTCTTAATAAGGCACATATTGAGTTAAGTACTACAATAGTAATTTAATTGTATTATTATCGACATCGATTCCATCTATTGAAGGTAACAGCCCAGGTATTTACGAAAAAATACAAAAGGGAAGAAAGGGATAGCAGCTTAAAAAATGCTTAGTAAAAGAACGAGACTTTTACAAAAGACGGTGTTTTTTTATCCAGCCACCATTTTATCTAGATACCTGCGGAGTCTCGTAATCGGATTAAATAAAAAAATATTTTCGTATTATTTAAATTACCGATGAAAAGTAATGCCATCTTTTTTTGGATCTAGATGTCTTGGAATGTTTCCTGCACTACTTTATCGCGCATTAAGGCATTTTGATGTGCTACAATTGCAATAATAGGAATATTTTTATTTTGCGCGCATAGAGGTCTAAAACTTGGACACAACTAAATGGTTACTTGTACCGTAGGCCTAGAGATAAGCGACAAAATACTAATCGTTTTCGAGCAGCTGGCACTGTATGCGCCATCAAATAGTTATGTCGTCATTGGTACTAAGTACACTAACTTACTTTGACTGCACGGTTGGCGCGGTGGCCACTGTCTGTCATTTCGCGGGCTCGATTCCCGCACGGAAGAACTCTTTGTGTAATCCACAAATTTGTTCCGGGTCTGGGTGTGATGTGTATGTGAATTTGTATGTTTGTAATATCATAACATAGTCAAAGTTTTTATTAATGCAATTGTGAAGTGCATTTTATTTTAATTGACATGAAACATAGTGACTGAATTAATATTGTAAAAAAATACTTACATATTTTTTTGTAGCAAAAGAGATTTTTATTGTCTTTTTGTAAGAGAAGTTGGGTTCTAGTAAATAATGCTTGTGCCCTCAGAATTTTAGATTTTTATTCTACCTAATAGCAAAAACAAATAATTTTCGTTATCAGAAACCCTTTTTCATTTATTCACCCAGCATTTAGATATATTTGTTTTAAAAAATAAGTTATAATTACAAATTGACGTAAGACCCTTGTAGTCCCTATAAGTATAAGATCGTCTTTACTATATTTCACATAAAGTAACAATTGCATTATGTGTAAACAAAAGATTTTATGACCTTTTGTAACTTAAACACCTTTGTATACCATGTTTTACGCAAATAAATGTATTAACAATAAACTTTATCTTTGTTCTCAAAGTGAAAAAAGTTAAAGAAAAAATAATTAAAAACATAAAAATAAATCACAGTTAAGATTATAATTCCAATGAGGCGCACAATAGCAATAAGGGACCCAATCCGCGGCATTCTCCTTTCATTTCAATTAAAATATGTATTAAGAAGTGGCCAATTACATGAGATTTTGAGAACAAGGAATTTTTTGATAGCACAGTAGCATTTGTTGATTTAAATAAAATCTTTCATATTATATTAAGAATTAGGTTCAAACCCAATTAGAAGCTTATTTAAAAAAAAGAGTGGTTTTCGAACGTTTCAAACAAACACGATTCATAACGATATATTGCCATTATAATCAAGAGAGTTGAAGTTTTTTTATAGAAATTCAGTGCTTATTTCAAGTTAATAACATGACACATTGTATTTTTTTTAGATTCATCTTAGTATTATATCAAGATGATTATACTAACAGGAAAGAACTTGGGCGAGAGGCACAAAGATTTAAATATGAAAGTTCATGAAGCCACTATAAAGCGTGTTGATTTTGATGAAATTAAACAAACACCTGAAGAATCAGACGTAGACAAGTTGTTTAAAATAGCTGTTGCTTCGAAATATATGAACATCGAATACATAATTGACGTCCTCAAATGTGGAGATCCGCTATACATTTCGAAAGCCCTTAAATGTGATTGGATTTACGGCGATAACTACGCACATATCATCAATCCACGTAATCTTCAAAATGATATTATACCGTACATGTCAATAAAATGAAGAAAAAGATGCTAACAGCTATTTCAATGCATATTAGGAATGAATCAAGAGCCGTTGAGTTTTATAACTACTGCGTGGAGATAGGGTGCACCAATATTGCAATAAAGTTTTTACATTTTACAACTGAAAACTTCAAATTGGAAATATTAAAAGATCCCTTGAAATTTGATCGTCTTCGCCCATTCGTTACCAGCGATGAAGGTGCTGTAATAAAACACTTCATCGGCTCGTCATTTACTCTAGCAGATACATTTCTTAAAGTAAATAACTGTAATAGAAATGACGTTCTTCGGGAATTGATTTATTTGTATGCATTATCAGAAGAAAAATATTTAGACCTTTTAGAAAAATACACCAATTACTCCATTTATAATAAAAGATTTTTGAGTATACATATTTCCAAAAGCATTATGAAAAAACATAAACATAGGGTAATAAAAAATCCTATACTTTACGTAAGTGTATTGAACAAAACGGCGATAGTTAAATACAGTACTGAAGAAGACGCGAAAATTTATGCTCTTGCATTTTTCCCTATACATGTAGATGATTTTTGGTACAGCTATTTAAGTGAGCAGAAATACTATCTTGATAAAATTACAACTGGTAGATTTCAATTTATAAAGCAAATGTTTACATCAAAGTTTCCAAAGGAAGAATTTGAAAACAGTTTAAAGTTTTATGATCATAGATGCTATGAAATTATGACTGTAGAAGAAAAGGAAACATGGGCTTTACAACAAATAGCCAGCGAAAAGGAGATCCTTGGTAAAGGTCAAGACTATCTATGGTATAAATTTGTTAATTTCGAAAAAGCGTTTAAAGAAATGAAACGATTGGTAATGATCACTCCGAATAGAAGTAAACGAGCAGATATGATATTAATTTTGATTGAAAGTGCAAAAACTCAACGTGATCTCGAGACACTATTGAAATATTTTTACGAGAGACATATTAACGAACAAAAACATGTTAAAGAAAATTTTCTTGACAAAGTATTGCGATATTTTAATGTCTACGAATTTGATAAAGATTGCTGGGAAGCTTTGAATATCATGTTTCACAACTTAGAAGTCTACAGTTCGACCGACTATATTAGCAAGAATGAATACAGGCTCATTGCTGTTATTTATCATATAATTAATGACATCGAAATACCACAAGTTTTAAAGGAACATATTGCCAATGGAATGCAGATTTATTCATTAAAAACCAACACCGATACGCTGACTAAAGAAAAAATAGAGAAAGTATTTCAATATCTTTTTGACTTGATCATGGAAAAAATTCGCGAATTTGAACTCGAAAGTACCTTACCTAATGAAATTAGAAAACATATTTACAACCTTTTGGATTTATTGGACCTGTACGAAAAACCTAAAGAGCTTATTCCTGAACTTGTAAATCACTTCATGAAGTTGGATTGGTCAGAATATGAATACCACAGATTTATCCGGACTGATCAGAGTAGACCACCGCCGCTAAATTTACTGCGTGATTTGAAATCAGACTCAAAACATCTTATTGACAATCTTCCCCGCCTAAGAAAGGAACTAGATACATATGACAAGTGCAACATCAGTACAGCGCTTAAAAAGTTAAGAATCTATTTTACACAGGATGTTGCTAAAGAATGTTTAAGATATTTTAATACATTGTTAGACGAGGAAAAATTATGGCACAAAGAAGCGCAAGCAATAGTCCACGCTTTATTTCAACTGGGAGACTTAAACTTTAAAGTAGACTTAATGAAAAAGTTTGCTCCAAGTGAAGCTACCATTAATCATAGTGAAATTGATGAAAAGTTATTACGCATTCAAATGGCTATATGTTCACACATTTTGTATTCACGGCCTCCAATTCCTCTCGAGTGCACATTCATGTATCTAAAAGGCGATTACGTCCCATTTTGTTTGCCAATTTTTAATGCGCTGTTGTCCAACCTACCGGTACCGCTTTGTATGGATTTTGTTAAAATTTACTTAATAAGCCTGTATCCATTCAGAAACATGGAATACGCTTAGCTTTTGAATGTTTCAATACAGAAAATTTTAATACAGTTATTCTTAGCGCGTGGAACAAAACTAAAAATGTTTCCTTAAGGCTAGTTATATTTGATGCACTTTACAGTAAAATAAGTT